GCTCCCAAAGAAGCCAGACGCACATTCATCACATCGACTGCCTGTTTGAACAAACAGGCACGGTGGGAATTGCCATCAGGGCTCGCTAGTGCACAGCCCCGTAAACGGCAAGACTGAGGCAAGACAATAAAGGCCATTAATGAGAGGAAGGTTAATTGGATCATGCTCAAAGCGACAGAGGCAGTGCTTGGTGAGACTGCAGCAGCCTGGTGCAGCGTTGATGGTTCCATATGGGGCACCAAGGCATGGTGCTGCAGCCCAGCTGCCAGCACACTCATCCCCTCAGTTCCACCGCTGTCCTGCCCACCTCTACCAACCACCTCTCATCCCTCGCCATGCTCCTGGGGATGAGGTTCATGGTGGTGCTGGCATCGCCTGCACAAATTGCTCTGCCCTGGCACCTTCCAAGGGCTGCCGACCTCCAGCAGCAACACATTCATGTGGTCACACCCAGTGACCCATATGAACATCCCCCTTCTCACCAGGAGGTTCAACACAACCAGCCCCGCTCCATGCACCTGCCAAGTACCTATGTATCCTGTGCTACAGACACACACGACTTGCAGCGTGACCGGATCCTGGTAGCAGCCACTGGCAAACTGGCGTCCGCTCTCGGGGCCATCAGGACATGGGCAGGGACGGCAGTGGTCGCCTGATCCCAGGACGGGGTCTCCATAGTAGCCAGCCTGGCACCTGTGTAACGGGGTACAGGACATGCAGGGAACCACAGGCAAAGGGACTACAGCCTTGTCAGAACTATGCTCAGGTTTTCAACCACCGTGAAGAACCAAAGCGCAGGAAGATCATTATGGCTCTCCTGTGCCACTCACACTCCGAGTAGTTGTGCCCACAGAGACAAATTTGTCTAGCTTATGCCCGTATAAGTACATGAGACCCAAAGCAGGTGTCTCTCAGAAGACTTGCAATGGAGAAAGCCTCTCTGAAGCCCTGGGGACCTGCAACCTGCTCTTGGCTGCCTGGGCAAGCAGGGAAGAGGGAGTCCCTGCTCCCACCCTCC